GGTCGCCGGGTTGCGTCATGGCAGGTCACCCGGGCACTGGCTAAGCGACTCAGCATCGGACGACGCGGAAGGCGCATGCACGGTGGCGCCGGTGGCACCACGGTCCTCAAAGGCAAGTGCCGCGGTCCCGGCATCAGCGAGGGCGACAACCTCAGTCGGTGCAGCCTGCCCGGGGGCAGCGGTGGGCAACACCTTGTCAAGCAACTGCAGCACATGTGCGGCAGCCCGCGCAACAACGGGGTCCTGGTCCTGAGTGGCCTGCGTGAGCTCACGTCGCACACGAGCCCCACCTCTAACAACAGCATCACACAGCTTCTGCCGCCGAAGGGCACAGCGGTTCTTGCGGCAGGCCGCACAGCGCAGGCAAAGGAAACGGAGCTCGATAGCATAGCGCTTGTCCTTCAAGAAAGGCCAGGCCACCGCTGCAACATCATGCGCACGCAAAGCCGGGGGCGGCAGCGCCTTTGTAGCAAGCCGGCGGCACTCGGGACTCGGCGGGGCAATGCAAGCCAGCAGCTGGCGACAACCATCAAGCAAAGGGGCAGCATGCTTGCCCTCAGCAATCATGGCCCGCACGCACGCAACAAACTTGGTGTGGGTGGAAGTCGCGGGCCGGCGCTCACATGTCAGTGCCTGAAGCTGCTTGGGTGTAGCGGCCGTGGCGGTGCAGCGAGCACATGCATAGATCATGCGGGCGCTCCTCGGCTTCTTGGCAGGCTTACCGAACCAAGGGATACGGAAAAACCGCGCATCGTGCGGGCCAAAGTCACCCCGGTGCCTTATGAGGATGCGGCGCGCAACCCCATCAGCGAGCCTGGTGGCCGTGGCCTTCTGTGCACCTGACCTGGCCTGTGGCAACAAGAAACGGCGCTTTGGAGCTTCCGGATGGCACTGGTCTCGGTGGCGCAGGCGCGCATGCAGCAGCACATCAGCGGTCCGCGGGGTGGCTTCCTTAAGCAGGGCCTTATCACAGAGGGGGCAGGGCCACTCAACAACATCATCGGGGCCCGGTGTCACAAACTGCGGTGGCCGGTGCCCAAAGTCCTGCAAATGCTCTGGGCGCCACGTCTTGAGGTGCAGGTGCCGGTAGGCGCACCAGTGCTTGCCACGCACAACGTAGTCGCACCAATCACACTTCCAATGGTCCTTGGCCTTTTTGGTGCGGCCTTTGAGCAATCGGCCTCGGGAGTCATAACGCAACTGGTCCTGAGCCTCGGCCGTCACAGGCATGCAATCCTCAAGGGAGTCGGCGGGAGAGCCAGGCGCAACAGTCCCGGGAGCCGGCCCATCATCAACAGCAGCGGGGCCAGCCGAGGCAACAGCAGGTGGCACCCCAAAGAAGGAGCGAATGCTTGGCGTGGCAGCCGGCGGATCAGTGCGAACCCGCTTGGCCCGGAGCTTCACGGAGGTGGGTGCAGACGAGGCGACCGAGCCCAACGTAGAGACAGCATGAGCCTTTATTCGCAACGGCCGCAGCAGGCTCGCCGATGCGCGACACCGAGTCTTGTCCAACCGGCACAAGGGCAGAGGGCGGCAGTGAGTCAGCGCGAGCCCGCTCAGCCCGATGCTTGACAGAGGAGGGCGCAGAGGAGGCAATCGAAGCACGGATGCAGCGGCGCGTCGGGCCCCCACAGAGGCATCGACACACCCATCATGCACAGCAGGAGCGAGCCCGCCACCTCGCGGGGGGGAGCCCAGGAGCAGTGCGAGCCTACAGAAGAAGGCGCCGAGGAGGCAACCAGGCACACGCAGCGAAATCGGAGCGCGGCATTAGCATCTGCAAGCCTAGCCAGATCATCAGCCGTCGGCCCACCAACACGCGGGAAGGAGCCCTGGCCCGCCTCCTCGGTGACCGCAGCAATCTCATCAGGCAGGCGGGCATTGGCTTTGAGGGTGAGGAGGTCAAAGTGCTTGCCGGTGTGCCACACAATGACCCTAGGCAGGGAAGGCCCAAAGTTATAAGCACTCGGGGGCATGTCGGCCCGCTCCGGCAGCACAAAGATAGTGCACTTATGCGTTTTGGCAGCAGCAAGAATCTCCAATGCACCGGCCCAGGCATCGGGGGCCTGCATACGCGTGAGGTAATCGGCAAAGGACTCGAGGTGTTGCTGCCGGTCATCACAGCCATCCCACCGCTTTTGGTAGGTGGGGGTGTACTTACGCATATGGGCAACGGTCTCGGCACGCGCCTTGTCTGGCGACGGCGCCGCAGGCAGTGCCTTGGCCAAGAATGGAAAAGGCAAGAGCCGTCACCTGGCACAACATGCCGCTCGAGTTCGGGCGGGATTTGGCGGTAGCGGACCGAAGTCGCGGCTGACTTCTTCGGTCCCGGCAAAGGGCGCGCATCACCCTCGGTGGGCTCAGTGGCCTCAGAAGCCTGCAGCACAGGTTTTTCCATAACGGTGAACGCCTCACGTGTGAAGGAAAAGGGGCCAGCACGCAGCGGTTGCCCACGATCCCGCAGACCCGGCCGGGAGGGGGCAGGAAGTACCCAGTATGAGCGCTCGCCCTCCGGCCCCTCGACAACGATCTGTTGTGCATGCCCGGACCCACCAGGAACAGGCACCTTTCCGGACGAGCCGTCGTATGACAGCAGGGTTCTGAAGCGTGGTCTGGGAAACAAGCAATTCCCGGATATAGTCGTCTGTCCAAGGAGGAGGCGTACCGGTGATGGTCCACGTTCTCGTCGGTGTCGCGCCGGCCTGCGGTGCAAGGCGGGTGCCTATAGCTCCTTAGTGCCCAGGAGCAAGCCAAACACCGGCCGCTCAGCAAGAAGCCGCTCATGCAATGCACTCAGGCTCTCGTCCCGCAAGGGCTTATGCCAAACAACAGTGACGGCAGGAGTGGCGTCCTGCCGGCCCACCGGCTCAACAAACACCCCGTGCTGGCCCGAAGCCCGGAAGAGCTCGCGCACACAGGCGGTATCGACCCTAGCAAGGCCCTGCACAAGATGGTGGCTGCCGCGATCATGCTTTGCAAACTGCCAGGCGTCCTTAAGGCAGTGCTGCTTATCCAAGGGCAGTGCGAGGCGGCCCCACTCCTGGACAAAGCCCCGGGGCGCAGCAAGCGCCCTCTGCCAAAGCTTCGGGGGAGCAAGCCCCTGGCACGCAACTATTCTAACAACCGTGGTGGCTGAGGCTGGTGCCGGCGCTGGCTTAGGGGACGACTTCAGAGACGGGGCCGCAACCCCAGCACAACACACTTCAGTGCGAACGACGTGCTGGGTAACAACCCTGGTCCCCGAAGCAAGCGGAATCACAAGTGGGCCCGCACGGTCCCTATGGAAAACCCAAGCAGAATGAAGCCCCTTCCCTTTAATCAACTGGGCCGCGGCATCGGCCTGCTCCTCATCGGCAGCAAGCAAAACAAGCGGGCGCTTTGGGACGGCAGCGAGCTTTGACGAGAGCTCATCATACTGAACCACAGTGCCATGGAAGTCACCTGGGCGCAGTGTAAACGAAGAGGCCGGCTGGGGTGGGCGCGTCGGAGGCGCCGCGGTCACAGGCGGGGCTCTGGGCACAGGTGGCTCAACTGAGGGGCCCTGAGGCCTCGTTTGGCTGGCGGCTTTAGGTGTGGCCTTTGGCTTTGCCTTGGGCTTGGGGCGTGCAGGCGCGGGGGGGGAGCGATCAGCAAGAAGAGGCCCCAACGCCTCAATCAAAGACTGAAGTCCTCCAGCGCCTTTGGCCGAAAGCAACTTAAGAATCCCTTCAAGAACCGCAAGCAGCTGCGCCTGGCGAGCCTGGGCCCGCTTGCGTTTCGTGACAGTGGAAGCACCAGGTCCTGGATGGGAGGCTTCTCCAACGCGTTGTCCTAACAGGCCGGTGGGGCGGTTGAGGCGAAGGCAGGGAAAGTGATGCAAAGCAGGGCCTGCCTTAGGGAACCCGAACCCTAGGGGGGCACTAAGCAAAGGCCTAAACCCACGGTTGCAGCGTGAGCTACAGGCTCCAACGCAAGGAATGCAGGGCAGCAGCCCATCACAGCAAGACCTTTCATGGCACAACACCTGACCGGCTTCTGCAAAAGTCGGCTCCAGGGCGTAGAGGTCGGGAAAGTTCGAAGCCCCCTCAAGAGGGGGCCCCGCCACCACGGAGGCGCGCCGCCCGCGCGCCAGGACGTCTTCCCGCCGGTCAAACGTCCCAGGTGAAAGCACTTGCGACTGTTGCGGAAGTTGAATGATCGGACACAGCGCAACAAAGAATGAACAAGCAGCGATGTAAGTCGGGATGCTACTGATCGCATCTGCAAGGGTCAGGCGTGGGCCCTTCCGTCCAGCTTGTTGCTGCGTGCCCTCAAGCTGCGGACAGGAAAAGTAGTCATACCAGACAAAGACAGGATTTGATAGCAGCACTGCAGCGGGAAGGCCTTTGGCACTTGGAATCGAGAGTTCCGTTACAAAGTCCAGGGGGATGTACTTCCTTTCGGACGTGGCAAATCGCAGCGCTTGCTGCAAGACTCGCAGCTGCGTTAACTCTGGATCGGGATGTTGCATGCCGACCCACTGATGGGAAACGAAAAGTGCCTTTCCCATATTTTCACGGAACTCCACGACAATACCCTCAGCAAGTAGGTTTTCGTGAGGACGGATTTCCGTCATTTTCAGCAGCTCTTCCATCGGCACAACATACATTGGCACCGTCATGGGGACTGTCTCAACTTCCTCGACTTGCCTCGCGAGTGATCGGGCATACAGGGCCAATGGAGTCAAGGTGACTTTTGACGTGCAGCACGGCATGGCGGTTCAATGGCACTAGTTCGTCCAAACGCACTGATTAGCTGGATGACGGGCGGTGTCTTGTGGCACATGCGGGAGGAAGCTTGAAGACAGTCACATGTGTTAGCGACATACAGGAGAGATGCCGCGCACCTGATCGATGGTCCACAAACTTGCGACATCATGTTGAACTTGCAACTGGCCATGGATATCTGCGCTACTGGAAGAACCTACCTGCACGCCACCGTCCTGGTACAACACAGACGACAATAAGTTGTTGTCGAGCTTCACGCTGTTGAAGTACCGCTGGTACTCGGTCCACCACGTCCTTGCAGAGTAAGGCAGGCTGGCAAACTCGAACCTGTCCAACTTGTGCGCCGCTCGACTACGAAGGGATTGACAGCGCTAGGACGATTTTGTGTCAAAGTTGTTGCGCTATTCTGGCACCGAAGATCTGAATTGGCAAAAGCAATCGCCTTCGGGCCTTTCAGGGTTGATCTGCCTGATTCAGATCACCATGACGCGGCAACGGAGCCAATCAAATAGCGAACAGGATGGTGAACTATGACTTGATCCTCTGGTGCCTGGGGGCAGTCAACCTCGGAGCCAGGCCTTCCCAAAATTAATTCCAGAAGCCAATCGGACTCTGAGTGTAACTTTTGCTCCCAGCGGCTGGTTGAGGGCATCGCCTACACTGCTGACGTGCGTTACCTGAGCATGCAGAGGCTCGAAAGGGTCTTACTCCATCCCCTCACGCAGCGGCGAGTTGAGCCGGGCTGTAGTCCTGCTTAGGCGGAATTTCCACCAGTTCCCCTTTTCAGTGCTGTGCGGACCTGTCAAGTTCCATGAACAAGTCTTGCTGGAACCGCGGCCTTCGCTGGGCGGGCCAGCAAAGTAAAAACTGTATGTCGCTTACTGGGCGCTGTTCCAGCTGCCTACTCAGCTCCTTTCATGGACTGCAACCGACATGACTCCTCTCCCAGTCTGACACAGGGACGAAGTCCCAAGTACAACCTTGTTGTTAGGGTCCTCAACCCAGCAAACGAAAACATCAATACAACTGCAAAGCGAACCAGCATAACCGGGGAAGTGGTTATGCAAGAAACGACTCAACCCACTCTGAAGCAAACTTGTAGGCTTCACCAAAGCCTAGCTGCTAACGCAACGTCCAACCGACATAGTATTAGCGCACTGTCTGAACCCAACCTTCCTGGACTGTTGGTTCTAGTCGGACATTCCAAACGAGGCCTGTGCTCTTTCTACGTCATGCCGCTTTCTTACGGACCGACAAGCCTGATGTACGTTCGAGCTTTCAAGGGTTGAGGCCGTGTTCGCGGCGTATGCATGCCATGCTCTTCTGGTAGACACTTACCCGCTCTCCAACTTCCCGAGAGCAAGAGCCCGCAAGAAAAGCCTACCCCGCTGGAGAAGTAGTCGAGGACGTATCGGGCCCTGGGTCTCGGGGGAAGGGAGAAGCCTTCGACCTCAGCAAGGGATTGGGCAAATCTACATTCAGCGAATCTCAACGACATCACATCCAGCGGTGAACTGGCCTCGCACCCCTATGATCCAAAAGGCCGAGGTGCTCCCATCTGAACCTTGTAGCTTTAGGATGTGGAGCTGGTTGCAGGCTAGGAGGTTTGCTTTACTGGCGCAGGGTCCCGGAGGCTTTGCTGTGGTCCGCAATCTTGCATCATTTCCCCATAGCTGGATTCTCAAGACTGCCGCAATTCTCTACGGGATTGCGCCATGGGATCGGACCTTAGCCGCTCTGCTCCCAAACTGTGCACATACTTCCCCTCCTAGATGCAACTTCAAGCTGGGTCCTGGGTACTCGTACCGGAAGCTTCGTGTGCTAAACTTGAGGGTACTGCCACTTGGCAGGCGGCAAGGGGCCAGTGTCTGCATGGCCCGCACGGCATGTCTGTCTGAACAACCACTACCTGGATAACCAGACCCGGACATCCCCTACGCTTTCGCCTCAAAGTCACAGCCCGACTGAAGCCGGGAGACAAAGAAAATGCCGAAGAGGCATAGGAGGAAGGCAAGCAAGATCAGCGACCAGAACTTAGCCGGGGGATGTCTCAGCGGTTCTGGTATTGATCACAATTTGACCGGCTGACGGCATAAAAATCCAAAGGTGCAGCTTTCACCAAACTGCACTGCGATGGTAGAGGTGCGGAAACGGGCTCAAGAGCACGATCGCACTTGCTGACGTCGTTGAAGAACAGCCCCGACATGCGTGGCTCTCGCAGCAACTGTATGAACTTTCGATTCAACCGCGCGATTCTCGTCACCAGGTGGCGAGAGTGTAGCATGATACCATTGCAAAACCACAACTTAAGATCTCCGAGCTTGCCCAAGCAGCCATCGTGAACATGCAGCCCAGGAGAGAGTCCAGAATCCTTGTGCTCTTGCCGGTTGGGGTGTGGAGATGCGCTCCCCGGATCGGGGATCGGGATTTGATGAGCGCAAATACTACTCCCAAACTACTCTCCCCACTGTCAGAGACTGTGACAGAGACGAGCACCTGAAGCCGTGGAACCTTTGAACCACTTCGCTACGGCAACGGGCTCATCCGCAAAAAGGCGTGAACTGTTTGGATCGTCTTCAAATCTTCAGCCTCTTGGAAGCCACGGGTCGTGCGCAGGTCCTCCAATGCGCGGAGGGCCTTGAGCATCCTGGCGATCCTGGCACGAGGCAAGCCAAAACTAGAAACTCGCTAAATACCGAACCACATCGTGCTTGCTATCATGAATACTTCATCCCGCAGTTCCTGATCATCCGCAGTTCGTGGCTGTAGTTAGCTTGTGCCTCCGAGACTGACTGAGGGCAGCCTTTTTCAACGAGTAAACTCCCCCAGGCCCTAAACCACAATCTTTAAAGCAGAACTGAAGTGAAATGCAATATTCCCATGCCTCCCCACTTTGACCAGCCGCACAATTCGAAGGAAGGTCGGGTTCAGGAGCGACCTCGCACTGAGATGTTAGTAGCAAGTTTAAGTACTTAGATATGAAGATTATTAACCCATAGGCCCCATAGTAGTTCCTTTTTGAGAGTAGCAGTCTGATGATTTGTTCGAAAGAAGTCGGGCCGTTGTCTTCGAGGCTTCCGCCTGTTTTGAGTCTCCTAAGAAGCTTCATCTGCTCAGGCCTTGCTGGTAGACTCTGGTAGACGCTGTGAAGTTGAAGTCGTTAGGGCGGGGCTGGTTTAGATCATCTCAGTCGAGCCTTCGTCGAAGCCGAAGACCGGAGCCTCTGACATCGGGCCTTTGCAGCCCCCGACATGCTTCGTATACAAATCAGATCTTATAACCCCTTCATAGCCATGCCTGTCGAGCATGGCAGCATAGCCTAGCAGCCGAGCACTTTAAAATACAGTACCTGATAACGCATGCAGGTATCATGGTAATAACGATGCTCAGCGCTCCGCCGAGGCCTGGAGCCGGCTTTTTCGGTTTTAGACAAGAAAATGACAAAAAGATGATATGGATGAATATTGATTTTAATTATACATATATATATATATGTACGTAAATCTGCTGTTGTTGATATGACTTTGGGCATTTTCCGAAACAAAAAGGCAATCGCCTCCTATCCTGTGGCCACCCAGAATGCCCTGAGCTCGGAACCTGTGCCTGCGCCGTAGCGTTCCCTCACACCTGTAAACGCCATCAATGCGAAAAAGTACGGTGACAACAACAACAGCACTTTGAGCACTTTTTAAAACACATTCATCATTAGCACCCCGGCCCTGAGCCCGATCCGGAAGCCTGAGCCGTACGCCAGGACTGCTCTACTCTCCTGCACCCAAGGGCATGTACGGTACTGAGGGTGCTGCGCTGCCACGAGCTCTAAGTAGGCGAAGAGCACCAATACAAAGTCGAAAGAATTCCAGCCGCCCTCTGCGTTCACCTCGTTAGGGGGGCTTGGGGTGCACATGTCCTCGAGTTGAGGAGGGACCTGACCCTCGCTCTGTGCAGGCAGTACAAGTACTTTACACCCGACTTCCCCCCTTGGATGACGGTCGAGCGACAAAGAAGTGAAGCCGATGAACTGAGAGCTTCAGTAGCAGCTCCTGAACATGTCGACTTGCTTGCGCTTCCTATCTGTCGCTGTGGCATCATTTTCATAGAAACGTAGGGTTGAGTGGCATAGCACACTGACAGTCGGGCCAACTGGATGAGCGATTCGAGAGCGATCTACTGCTATGCTAGTCGACAGGCCCCAAACAGCATCACAGGCACTGTCATAGTGACAAATGCACGGCCCGGCTGAATGCATGATTTTTCTGATGCTGGCGAAGGAGCAAGATGTGAAGAATAAAAAGCAGATGCTGATGCTGACAATTATGCTGATGCTGGCTCTGGTGCTGGTTCTGATGCGAATAGTGATGATAATGATGATGGTGATGGTGACGATGAGGAGGCCAAGGAGGATGGGGATGAGGATGCGGATCAGGAACACTGGTGGTGGTGATGATGACGATGACACCGGTTCTGGGCGCAGGTCGTGGTAGCGGCAATGGTCGGCGACAATGGCAGTGGTGGCTCTGGTGGTAGCAGCCCAGGCAGCGGTGGCGGCGCAGTGATGGCGGGAAGTGGTGATGATGGTAGTGGGTGCGGCCGTGGCGAGGCTGCTGATGATGAAGCTGCGGATGTTTGTCATGGCGATCACGGTGATGGTGCCAGCGTCACCGGGCAGCACGTCAAAGTCTGTTACCCTACGGATGCCATACAGCAACACTGCCCCTGAGCCCGATCCAGAGTGTAGAAGGCTGTGAACACATGGCCGAGGATGACGATCTCAATTGGCTCGTCCTGCAAAGCGTGACTAATGTGTGCTTGCAGAAGGTGCTGCTTCTGAGCACATGGTTACATAAAAATTACATGCATCGCATCATTGCAATTGCTCAGCCCTTGCACCTGCTGACTTGTCTTCGTAGTTGGACAGTAAAGAAAGTTAGTTAGCATTGGCCGTCGACAGGACAGGAAGTTAAGGACACAGAGAGAGAGAGAGAGAGATGCAGTATGTGTGTGTGTGTGCGTGTGTCTGTGCATGTGCGCGGGTACGTACGTACGTTACGTACGTACGTACCTATGTATGTATGCACATACAAGTATGTGTGTGCATACGCATGGTGGGACAGACAGTGGGTACTCGAACCTGCCGAAACTTCGATGGCCGCTTACCATGCCACATACGGTTCATGTGTAAGCCGGAATGAAGCTCTCCAGGGCATAGCTCGCAAAGTCAAAGCATCAGAGTCCTGGCCGATGTTTGCCATGGCCCAGTTGCTGGAATGGATGATGACGCCAGCATTGGCCATGATCACCTCTCTTTGGGATACCCGGGACTGGAGGAATGTGGCTTAATTACTAAAGCTCGGTGGCGTGAGTCCACGCTTGAAATTGATCCTGCTCCTTGAGTCTCTGGCGAGCAAGCAGACGGTGTGAAACCTCGGCTTGCTCCATGCTGCGACGCCTCTTAATCCGTCATGAATGCACCAGCACATCACACATTCACGCTGGCTACTGGCCGGCGCATGCTTGATAACTTTTCGTGCCCCGCGTCTTCTCCGTGAGACCCACGAAACCTCCAATGTTTAAACAAGTTCTTGAAGCCTTCTGCATGTGGGCTTTGCTCGAGGCATCCACAAGCCTCGTCTCAAACTTTCCGGAATACAGTCAGATTAGGGACAGCTATTGCTGCCCCACGTGGGCGTCATATCTGTGTTAACCGTATCAAGTAATGAAAGTCGGATATTGAGCCCACATTATCCCACAATACATCAGCTTTGCCTGTTGCAGCGATGCTTTCTACCATTGATTGCCAGCATGACCTTCATCGCCTGAATCGGCACGGTTTTGCCCTTCATCCCGGCCATAGCCTTCATCGCCTTCATGCACGCAGCTTTCCGTTCGCCATTTTGCTGCGGAGACCACTGCAAATCCTCTTGGCGCGCTCCGAAGCTCCGACCGAGGATCGCTCTCGAATCTGCACGAGAGGGCTGGCGAGGACCGAAAGGGCAGCTTGCACAGGATACGGCCTGAGCCGCAGCCATTTCCGCCTCCAGTGCAGGTCCCACTCTTGCTGGACGGTTCATTCTCCGTTGCCGAACTCTCCACCAGACCCGCTCTCCAGCAGCTTGGGTCTGCCGAGGTCCGTCACCAACGTCAACGAAGAAAAGCTCCCGACCTGGGGATGTCTGGCCAGCGTTGTGCGCTGCGCACACTTCCACAGCCTAAGGCGACTGGAGCGACGGTCATGGCCAATCCGGCAACGGCAACTGGAAGGGCCTTGGACACCTTTGAGACGGTCTTAAAGAAGGTGCTTCGGCCAGTCTACAGAGCAAGAATGCCAAGGTCTTGTTGAAAGGCCGAAGACTCACGGAGCACGCGGCTTGGGTTCGTAACACCGGGCCACAGCTCTCCGAGCGAGGCTTTGCACCTGGCAAGGCTTTTGCCGAAAAAAGCTCAGTTGCACTGCAGCCGCAGCAACAAAAACCGGAAACCACAAGGACTCTTCTGTCAACGACCAGCATGGATGAAGGCTGACCCGAGAAGTGCAGCTCCAAGGCAGTGAGAGACATGTCCTTCCAAAACACACTACGCCCCAAACCGAGAGCCTGCTTGTTGTGGTCTCCCGTAAGTTCCGTCAGAACATCGAGATGGGGTATCAACCTGGGCGGAGATTTGTGTCCCGTTGCAGTACTAAACTTTACTAAACTCGCTAAAGCCAGGAAAGCAACCAAGGCCGGGTGCGCGTTAACCACTACGGCACAAAGGCCCCACATTGCCCCTGAACTCTTTCGGTCGGAACCAACCGGAACCTCAGCCTCGCAGAACCTGAAAAGCAGCTTGGCGGAATGCCGGGCCACTCGCCAGGTTTGCACTCCACCAGCGCGCGCAGAGCATTCCACCGGACAAGCAGGGTGTCCTGGAGTGCAGATGCCGGCCAAAAACTTTAAGCATTGAGTTGTCCATGCAAAACCACTCGGCTGCATGTCGTACAAGCGCCCGGCATGTCGACAGAAACCCCTGGACTCGCAAATGGAAAAATCAAAACAAATCCTGCAAAGCATGTTAAGTCTCACCTTTCCTTGAGTCGCTTGGCGAGCAAGGGAACGTACCTTAGGCAGCAGGATGACATTCAACATTTTCCGAACTTTTACGACTGTGAGAGCTTACATCCTCTGAGCTGGACCTACCTACTTCTTCTGTACCCAACGCATATTGGTGAGCTGCAGCTAGGCTTTCGTGTCCGGCATGTGGCGTGTACTCGGGGACACAGTATTGGCGGTTCATGTAAGCTGGAAGATGCGCGCTGCGCCAAGTCAATACCTGCCACACCCCACTGAACTGCTGGCCACGCAGCGGAGAAATCTCTGCCGGGTTCAGCTTCGCCATCGCTTGGCACACTGCGATTCGAATCTCGACATCTGCGTCCTTGCAGTGAAGGCGACCAACAAAAGCCCTGAGATTTCGCATGATCCCATGTCAGAGTAAAACTTTATCTGCCTCTGGGGTGTTCCTTGCCCAGCTACACATACCCAGATTTGCTGGCCAAATCGCCATGTTGAGACCCTGAGACAGTGCCTGCGGTGATGAGCTCCTTCCCTGAAGCCACCAACCCAGCCTCAACCGAGAAAGCAACAAGCACAAGAAAAACAAAAAGCGCTACAAAGAACGCATCAGATACTTAGCCTCACCCCTAACCAGTCCCATCCCCACATCCTGGCTCAAAGCCGCCAGCTTGGGCAGGTGCCTTGGGCGGAGCTTTGCAAGACCCTCCCAAAGTCTAGTCAAGAAGCTAAGCTTGCATCTGCGTGCTTTCTACGACAACGGTCCGAATCTTGGTCTTGCACGAAGAGACAAACAGAACATTTATCTGTCAGCATATACCAGCAAAGACAGGCAAGCAAATAACTATCCCTAATTGCACGCTCCTGGTCCATAAAACTTTATGGAAGGTCTGGAGAAGTAGTTGGACCCTCAGCATCTCCGAGTTGCGCCGCCAGCAGCACCGCGCGGCAGCGGGCCAGTCCCTGGCAGGCTGCGCCTCCACGAATGGACAAGGACAAGAGCTCGGTGTTCGCATCAGGGCTAATCATCACGGCCAGCATATAAAATGTTTCACGTGAGGGTTTGGGCAAGGCTTCGAAGAAACGGCAAACCAGACACGGTCATGTGACTCGCATGAGCATTCATTCGGTCATAAGTGCCATGACTCCGGAGCCATCTAGCTCTCGTGGTATATGGAAGTGTGATCCCGAGGATCCCAACTCCTTGCAGCAAGGGGACGCCGAATCAGCCAGTGTTCGTCGTCCACTCGATGGGCGAGGGAAGCCGAGTGTGGCGACACTGCGGCTTCGTCTGCACACGAATTAGGGATGGAAAGGATTCGCTTGGAGCATCAAGGTTTGCGTTCACAGGTTGTAACTTTGCAACCTACTCTGCTGTGCCTAGGCTCCTAGACTCATTCATCTCTGTCAGGTCAGGAGAAGCAATGTTCGCTCCTAAGGTCTAGGCGAGGCCTCCTCACGGTGGTTGCGGCGGGGTCAGAAAGTTTGTGCGGGCTTTTCTGGGTTTCATGTGGACTCTTGTAGGGCGCATTGACAGTGTCGTGTCGACTCCGGCTTGCTATCCCAGCCTTTGATCTGAGCGAAAGCCCGAAATGCAGCCACGACCAGTTGAGGATCCTGCGGCACACAGCAGGCTCTCAGCGTCACTGCATGTCACTGATGTCCAGCTCTCGCAGCTCGAGAGCATCAACCCCGCCGTGACCATGAAGTGATGTGCCTCACCGAAACTTCTGCCAATCCCCACTAGTTTCCCTCAAAGCGCGCCGTAAAAACGCCCCAAACCCTAAACCCTACATCCGACCTCATCTTGGAAACAGTCGGCCAGCAAGGTCGCTGCAGGAGTCACGGACCACTCCTCACAAGCTGCAAGGGCCTCGCCTTGGCAGAGACTCCGCCGAGTCCGCCGACGCTTCTGCGAGTGATACAAATATACATATATATATATATAAAGGATGTATGTATGTATATATGTATCTACTTATGTGTATAGTCTACTCTAGCATACTATAACATATTATATTTTGCCATAGAAGTTTGCCGAAATCACAGAAGTGAGTGAATGAGTAAGTAAGCGACTTCTCCTTGCCCCCTCCACTTGAAATCAACGCTAGCGAACACCAGCCCAGGAGACAACGTTCCAAGGCCAGCAGATGGCCCAGTTAGGGGTGAGCGCTTGCTTGCAGACGCAAGGAGCAGCAACTAGGCAGGCCCTCCACCGGCTAATCGGCATAAGGGGAAGACATTGTGCCATCCTCGCGGAAGTTCTTGCGACAAGGGCTCTTCACCCGACAGCCTTCCACTACGGTACTACGCCAAACAAGCAACATCGCCTTTGCGTTGGGCTGTGCCCGGCCGCGTGCCAGTGTTTGCGAGCAAGATTCAGTATGGATCCCTCCACAGATACTATCGGTGCACAACGCGAACCGTGCGGCACCTTGCTCTCCCAAGTACTCACTCAGTCACCACCTTTTCCGGGATAAGGGGAAATGGCAAAGCTCCATCCATCCCCCCACAAGCAGGTCCCATGACAGTGAACCCTCGGACTGAACAGGTCAAGCCCAAAGCTGTGACCAACATCCGTCTCGGACGAGGGGGGAAATCCCAGAAGCACAAAACCACCCAAGTGTAGCCGCCACGGTACAAGCGGCGACGCGGGCACGAGCGTCAGGGTCGGCCAGATGTGCCGCCAAGAGCCCTGGCTGGACCACAGATGGTGCCCTTACAGTACAGTGTGATGCCCTTACAGTGTGGTCGCAAGAACGACATATGCATGAGCTCCCATGGGTCTTCACGACTGTCGGTTCATCTTCCCTCGCTCTAAAATGGCTGGAGATGTGCTCGAACTTGCTCGATGCGTCTCCATGCTGCTGCCCAATCTGACAGCAACACAAACAAAACTGGCTGTCATCTCAGACTCTATACTGTTTGGGATGTTTAGCAACTGGCCTGCAGCGGTTCTTGCAGGTCTGTAAGATGGTTGGAGGTTGCTGTGACAAGCGTGCCCACGCAAGCAGGATCTATCAAGCAGAGGAGTTTTGGTGTTCTCACATGGCAGACTGCAAAAGGACGTTGAGAAGCCTGAACCTGCTGCCAACCGGAGCAGAAGTCGAGCCGGAAGAGCCCCCGAAAGGCGACACGGCAGCAGCCTCACAGCGAGCCAAGGCTTTGCCTCGCATTTGCACTCACGGCTTGAACAGCGTCAAGGCAACATGATCGGTTTCGGCTTTGGCTTCCGGTGGGCGCTTCTAGGTTCAATAGGCACACGCACTGGTAGAACCTGCCTTCAGCCATGGCATACGGCATACGTCAACTACACTGGGCGACTTGGAGCCCTCCTTCCGGTGAGCGTCAACCGCACAAGCTGATGGCCAAGGA